TATATATATAGAGAGAGACTGTATCTAAAGAGTAACCGCAGCACAAGTTTTGGCAATTACTACCCGTGCTCAAACCAGAAGACAAGGGCTGGTGGTGCCCTTTAACAGGGTGGATCTGCCCAAGTGTCGTCCTCTGCAAAACACCCCTGATTTTACTTACTGGTAATAATGATAACTAGCCAAAAAAAAAAAAATTAAGGCGGCCTAGATTTCTCCATCCGTACATTGCCAAAAAACAACAACAAAAAAACAGATGAAAAGAATGAAAGCTCCTGGCTGAGCAGGGATATTCAGCCCACCTCTGCAGCATTGGGTTATGGTGGCCAGACAGAGAATACAAGGTCCCTTTGTAAAAGAAACTCTTGCTGTTGGTGTAGAGGCAGTATCTTCTCCCTGGCCCTCCTTGCTGCAGCCTCATGGGCATTTTGTGGCCCCGCTAGCGCGGCACGGCGCAGATGCGGTAGGGATGGGGTTGGCGCGTAATAGAAATGCGGTAGAGGAAGCTGGGCACGGTGTCCTGCGGCATCCGGAAGGTGAATTTCTGCAGCAGGGCCATGAAGAAGAGGAAGAACTCGATGCGGGCCAGCTGCTCGCCCAGGCAGGCCCGCTTCCCTGCGGAGACAGCGGGAGCCGCACTACTTCAGTTTGCTCGTGCCCAGTGACATCAAAACTCCCCCCAAAAGAGCATCACATTCAGTCAGGAGGGCCATTGTTTGCAGGAGTTTCTGCTCTGCTCTGGTAGTGACTTGATCAACCTGGGACTGATACTGAGAGTGGCCACCCTTTCCTTTAAGGCGTTTCTGAGGTCTCCTGTGTGTTTTGTGGGACTTTATTCCTCCCTGTTGCTCCTCCCTATGTGGGGAGGTAGCCATGGTGAAGAGTGTTTGCTTTGTCCCAACTGCACAAGTTGGGCTGGACATGTGTATCCATGGGGCAAGGGGAGCTGTGTTTGGGGCGAACATCAACCTGCTTCCACTCCCAGCCCAGGAACTTGCCACGAAAGGGCTGGGGAAAGTATCTGCTTCCCCTTACCTAGGGAAAATGGAATGAAGGCCTCTCTCCTGCAGAACTGGCCGTCCTTCAGGAAGTGCTCGGGGTTAAAAGCATCAGGGGTTTCCCACTCCTTCTTGTCCGTAAGCACTGAAGTCAAGTTGGGCAACAGAACGGTGCCCTTAGAGAAAAAGGAAAAA